AGTGGCTAATGCATCGCATACAAAATGCAATCTAGAATAGGCTCGGCTAATCTAAGAGTGGCATGTGGAATGCAACAAGTAACACGTATTCAAGTTGGATTTGAAATACTATGTAGTTAGTATGATGCACCGAGCCCGGTGCATGTAATACAGATGAATGAATGCACACATGCATAGCATAAGGTATGCTAATTCCTCAAACTGCACCATTATGCTACGATCAGAACTAACTTTGGTTAGTGAAATAAAATGATAGTTTGATTTATTAACTGCATAAAGCTTTAGTTGAATATGACTTTCGTGTAATTTACAAAAACATTATTGAAGAAACTTGCTTAATTTGTCCCAAATTTTAATGCCATATGGCCATACTCTGTTTGTCAAACCATATATCTTCTCAAGTGACACCTAAAGGCTGCTAGTACGCAAGAGAATCAAGTCTATACACTAAGGTGAAATACACACTTCTTTCCCATACAAAACATAATATTGGATATGTCCCTGAAGGGATGATACAAAACAGAACATGAAACAGTAAGTTTCATGGGTTTCTTGCAAGATGGCTTGGTATCTTTAAACCCATGTCACGATTAAACCTAATAATTTTTTCGCAAAAAGAAATTTTTTAATTAAAACTTTGAAGATTTTACAAGTAGTATCAAGAAGATCAAATTCAAGAAAAAGACAGCAAAAATAGAACAATATGACTTTTGTAATAGACAAGCACATAAATAGCAAATTAAAAGAGAAATATCAACAATCCCTCCCACAATTTCATCACTTTATATGAACAAGAGTACATCAATCAAACATATTAACATTTTAAAGAAGGGAACTCCAAGAGACCTCCAATTTTCTGACAGAACACCAGATTCTATTATTGAAGGAGAGATTCAAACATTAACCGGCCATTTCCAACCCTATATTACAAGCTTGATTTTCTTATCTACCCATCAACAATAATAACTTAACACAACAGAAAGGGGAAGACTGAAGACTTCAAAGTCAACACACAGTTGTAAAGCCCTACTCTTCTTAATTATTATCGAACCAGTCTCGTCGAACCATCAATTGTTGCCGCCGTCAATCGTTCCCCTTCGAAATCTGGTGCCGCTGAACCACTCTCCGCTTCGAACCCTCTCTCTTTTCCATCTCTTCTAGGTTATCTGATTTACAGCTTTCTAACTTCTTTTAAAACCCAATTAGAAGTCACAGTTTGTATATATTTTGATACCAAACAAAATCTAACATATTTTTGGTCTTTTTTTTTTTTTGGTGTGTTTTTTTTTTCATATTCACAATGTAAATTGTACATCGTGAAAAATAAAAGAGGAAATTTTGAGAGTGATGAGGGATTTACCTATCCTAGAAAAAAAGAGAAAATTTTAAGGGGTAAATTTCTACCCCTTAATTTTTAGAATCAGATCACAAAAAAATAATAATAAAAAAAATTAAAAAATTAAAAATTAAAAATAAAAACAATTTTTATTTTTTTTAAAAAAAAATTAAAACTAATTTGAGAACTATAAAAATCAAAAAAATATTTTTATAATTTTAAAAATTATTTATGGCCTCCTAAAAGATAAAATTATACAAAAATAATAAGTATTTTTTTCTTTTTTCACCAATTTTTTTTTTTTAGTTTTTTAGAAGAAAAAAAAATCTGAAACAAGTTTCTAAAAATTAAACCAAACATATTGAAATTGATAATCTAATATTCTTTGGAAAAGTTTAGATTATCTCAAATTAACCATCTAAACTAAAGAGTGTGTTTGGGCTTGATGGACTCATTTTGTGATCTAATTCGATAATCACTTTAATTTTACAATTCAATAACTAGAATATTTAATACTCTTTGAAAAATTATATTAAAAACACAAATCACTAAATCACCTCATTTTACTAACAAAATTTTTACCAACGAATAGTGTTATCATCGCTAAATATTTAACTCTTTGCCCACGCCAACTTGTCGTCGTCAAAAGTAAGCACACTAATAGCGACTCTTATTGTGTTGCTAAAAAATAAGCCTCGTAGCTAAAATTTTTGAAATTTTGGCGCCAACCAATAATTTTGGCACCTAGTGAATGATATGTTTTTTTACCGATGACAGTAAATTGTGTTGGTAAAGGTCTACTTTTGCCAACGAAATTGATCACTGTGTTGCCAAAAATATAGTTTTTCCTATGAAAAATTGACGTCGTCGCCAAAAGTAGTTGCCAAAAGTGCAATTTCTTGTAGTGTGTATTGAGATTGTGAATAATGTAAAGGACATCGGATACTTATGAACATGTTTTGAAAAGGCAAATCAGGTGTAAGTCCAGAAAGTAGGAGAAAACGTAATGGGCTTGGTGAAATTGTTTTCAGGAATTTGTTATTGTCATATGAATTTTGGAAAAAAGTAACAAGACGAAAGAAAACTGAATTGCTTAGGTAATTGAATGAAATGGATGATTTTGAGAAAAGTTCTTATATACGTATATTTCTGTATAAACCGTCACCTTATTATATAGTATAAGACTAAGCATTCATGATCATGACTATCTGTTAGTTGTTATTGTTTCGGATCATGTTGAGTTCCCTACTGGACTTTATATTCATCCCACGTTGCTAATCGTTTTTCAGGTGAACGTCAAGAAGTGTTTTAAAGTCATGGATCTTCTTTACCTGTTGGCCACGGGGACTTTTATTTGTGGGCGGAATGCCATTAATATAAAAGGGTTAAACCCTTCCCTCTTAGTTTAAAAGATGTAAGCCTACGGGAAATTTATTTAATTATAACTCTTGTTGCATTAATATTATATTCGGATGGGAGAATCTTTATTCATGTGTTCTTGTAAATATAAAAAGTTTCCGTATGTTATCTCTGAAATTGAATCTATAATAATGGTTTGGTAATGGAATTCAAGTAATAAAGAGGCAAGACGTTACAAAACAATTCACTCTTTCTTTCTTTTTTCGACGTGGGATTTTAAATGGAAGCTAGCCAATGAGAATTTTCTTAATTGTTTAAAATTAAGAAAATTCAATAATTTTAGAATAAGGGTTTGGAGCTCCTAGAAGGTTTCTCCCTAAAAATGTCATTTTTTTTTATATAATATATAGAAAGATAGTGAAACAAACTTTGTTTTCTTCTTCTCCCGATGTGAGATTACAAAATAAATTATAAACTAATTAGAGTTTTAGTTTTATATGGTTAAATGGAAGTTAGTTAATGGAATTTTTTTTATAATTGTTTAAAATTAATAAAATCTGTATGAGAAATCGCAATTAAATCGGTAAATCAGTCAAATCCAAAATGGTTCAGCCTAATCGTTCAAATACCAACCTATATGTTATTTTAATTTTAAAATTTAAACTATCTTGAATTGAAATATACACAATACTACACTATTAAACCACTTAATGGGACAAATAAATCAATTTTCTAAAATTATTAATTTTTTAATTTATAAAATAGACTAAAAAAACTATTGACTGATTTATTTATTTAATAACAAAAATATTTCACAATCTCTTCATCCTAATCTCTCTCACCAATTTCCAAAAAAATAAAAAAATAAAAAAATAAAAAATTTAAAACTTGCCTTCCTTCTCTCTTCTCCAAAAAATAAGATAATATTTTTCATGAAAGTTGTAGATGTCTATCTATATCTTATATATTATATTATAACATAAAAAAAAAAACACTAAAAGTCAGATATACAATAGATATACAAACAGATAAAATTAAAAAATTTGATTTTTATTTATTCAGTTAAAATCTTTCTTTTGCATCTCAATATTGATTTTTAAATTTTAAAAATTTTTAAAGTTTATCTAAACAAATCTAATTTGAAAATATCTCCCACTATTATATTTTAAGTCAATAAAACTCACATGCCTATCACATATCTAACTCACATCATAACTTACCTAAATAATAATAATTAAAAACAAATAGAAACAACAGATAAATTAAATTAAAAAAAATAGAAACCCAAAACTCCATCTTAAATAAATTGAAAAAAAAAAAAAAAACCCAAATAAAAACCACACAAAAATAAAAAAGATAAAGATTTAGATATGATCTAAAAAAAAATGAAAATATCTAAATTTATGATTTACTAATATAATTATCTATTTTTTTGATGTATATATATCAAAATTTTAAATCAGTTAATGAGATAAATTAATCAATTTTCAAGCTTTTTTTAAAAAATAATCTGATTAGTCATCCCAACTCTTAAACTTCACGAGCACTGACAGAGGAGCTAATGGATTGGGTTAGGTGAGGTTTAAGTTGTTGGAGATAACATTCTCACACTCTATAAATTTATTTATTTTTTATTTTTTTCCTGTGTGATTCTCTTTCTCTACTGTTGGTTTGGTTTTGGTTTCAGTTTTAGTGAGATTTATGTGTTTGTTTACAGGTTTGCATGATAGAGAAGCATTATTGGTGATCATGGTTGCAATCAAAGTATCTATGTTCGTTCCATGCCAAGGATTTTGATAGAATTTTGTTTTCTTCAATGAAGACCATAAAATTGAAGTAAAAAAATAGGTATCAAATTTTTTATTTTTTATTGTCATTTTATTTTATAAAAAATGTGAATTTATTGAGAATTCAATATTTTACTATAACATTAGATTTTTATCTAAGTAGGTAAATTTAAAACTTTTAAATATCATTGTGATTTTTATTTTTATCCTCTTTCAATCCCATTAGACCATTACTGCTATTTGTTAGTTTGTTAATTATAATTCAATCAATTGAAAATGAAAGTTTAATATAACTTTTATATATATTATAATTAATTGGTTACAACTATAGTTGTATATAATAGCATAATATATAGGGATAATCTCTAAGTATAATTTATATTTTTTTATGTAATTAAATAGTCCATCTTAATAGTATATAGAAAAGTCAGTCGGTTTCTTTTATCTCTAAGAAACCCAATCTATTTTTTTTTTTTTTTTTACTTTTTAGTTTTTTAAATTGAAACATCAATTATTTATGTTCATAAAACAAAACTGATAAATACATATAAAAAAGTTTTTTTAATTGAAACATCATTTGAAACATCATTTTTTTTTTTCATTTTTAATATGTAGGATATTTACAAATGGAAAATGTTTAACACTGCAAAAAAATTTCCATTATCCAACTTATAATGAGGTAGTCATAAGTGTCAATTTTTAAACAAATATGAGAAGATAATTAATTAAATTATACATTTCAACCAACCACACACTCAAACTTTGATTATTTCAAGACTATAATTCCAATTAAGAGAATCTTCAACCCTTAATATATTTTTTTTTTATCAAATTATAATTTGATAAAAATTAAAAAAGATGAAATGTTGAAAATTATTATTTTTTCCCATCAAAATTGGTGAAAAGAAAAAAAATGGGATAAGAATGAAAGCTCTTTTAAAAATTGATAAAAAAATTTAATAAAAAAGGTAAAGTAATTCATATCAAATCAAAAATTTTATTCAAATTTAAAATCAAATTAGATAAAAAAAATTAAAAGAAAATGATGAAAGTTTTAAAATATTTTAAAATGTTATTATTCATAAAGACTAGAAACCTGTGTGTGCATTATATTTATATTGTATTTTTAGTTATGAAATTGAAATCAAAAGAAATGTAATTTAAATTATTGGATTAATAATAGAAACATCATATTAATTATTATTAAATATCACTTCACTTCATATGTAATATTAAAATTATATATTTGCTTTAATTATAACTTTTAAATTAGTATATTTTCATAATAAGAAAAGATATATCATAACTCAGTTAATCTCATTTAATCAGGTTTAACTTTTTTTATACAAATTATTAAAATTGTACTAAATATATTTATATATATATTTTATATAAATATATATATTTTAATTTTTTTAAATTAATAATTTAAAAAGTTATAAATATAAAAGTTAACTTATAAATTTCATGTATACCATAAAATAAAATATTAAATTACTTTAAGATAATTATACTAATTTTTTTTTTAATTTATAAAGTTCGGTGCATAACACGGATTACCACAAATAATCACATGATGCAAAAGATCAACTAATAATTTTTCCAACAAGGGCCAAGTCCATCCAGTCAAATGCCTTAAATTCCCTCTCTTTCACTCACACTCTTTTTCTCTCTCTAAAAAACCCATAAGATCATTTATTCATTGGCATTCGATATCACTATACGACGCCCTCTCTAGAGAGAGAAAAATCACATAGTGCAGAATTGTTTGGACATAGTAAATTTATTTTAGAATTAATTTTAATAATTTAAATTATTTATTTTTTAAATTTGTTAAATAAAATATTCATATCAAAAATCAAAATAATTAAATATCAGTAATTATATAATTGAATCATATTTATTTATGTTTATTCACTGCCATTCCTCATCGTCGGAGGAGGTACCACCACCGTCACAATCCCTCAGATCAACCACAACGACTATTCTCTGCCATCGTCATCTTCGTCTCCGTCTTCTTCACTAATTAGAGTAATCGTCATCATAGCCTCCCCTATCATCGTGACTGGCTTTCTCTACCTCCTCATTCGTTTCATCACTCGCCACTTCAACAGCCGCTCCTTCGCAGCCGTAGATGACGTCGTCTCCTCCAGAAACAACTGCGACGATTCAAATCGTGATCGGTGTTTATACGAGTAGTGAAACTCCTCCAACGATTTGATCAACTTTCTTCCTCTCTTCACTTTCGGTTCTATCCATCGTCATCTTCGTCTCCGTCTTCTTCACTAATTAGAGTAATCGTCATCATAGCCTCCTCTATCATCGTGACTGGCTTTCTCTACCTCCTCCTTCGTTTCATCACTCGCCACTTCAACAGCCGCCCCTTCGCAGCCGTAGATGACGTCGTCTCCTCCGGAAACAACTGCGACGATTCAAATCGTGATCGGTGTTTATACGAGTAGTGAAACTCCTACAACGATTTGATCAACTTTCTTCCTCTCTTCACTTTCGGTTCTATCACCGGAAACATCGTTAGCGGCGATTGCGTTGTGTGTTTATCGAAGTTCGAGAGGAACGATCAGCTACGATTACTTTCTTTGTGTTGTCATGCTTTCTATACTGATTGCATTGACGCATGGCTTTTGTCCAATCAAACGTGTCCATTGTACAGGTCCGCTATATATCCTACGGAGGAAGATGTACTGAATAAAATCATTTCGTCCACGGTTCCAGAAGATCGCGGGAACAGTTTCCCTATTGACATCGGAAGCGTGAGTCGAAGATTGCACTCAATCGCCTCGTTCAACTATATTGTTGATGAAGGCTACGTAGTCTCCGTAGATTCCACACATCGGCAAGGACTCTCTGATTGTACTTCCATTAGCAAGGACTCGGCCGGAGTACCAGCAGTGGTGAACGCGTCGCCAGGAGAGAATTTAGCTTCTGAAGTCGCTGGACGAAGCTGGCTGAGAGACTACGTGGATCGACTTGCATCGATTGCATCTCGCACGGTATCATTTAGCAGCTCCGGCAGGTTTTTGACTTGTAGTAATCGCCGGAGCAACACGGTTGTCGCCGTCGATGAGGAATTGGAGGCTAATCGTATTGGAGAAGAGATAAGTGAGTTGTTTTGGTGGTTCTCAGGGGTATGATTGGTAAATTTAATTTGTTTTTTACGCGATTCAGATTTTTAAAAATTAATTCCAGTTTTTTGTTTCAAATATACAGACTCGATTATGTAGCAAAAAATTGTAATGATTCAATTTTCATGTATTTCTATTAAATCATTATACATATATTAGGGTTCTATAAATGGATATGGAGGTGACTAAAGTCTTTTAGGTATGTAAATCTCTGTTAATGATTTTGTTGCATTTTGTATGAGTAAAAAAGTATTTTCAAGTGAATGATATTCTTTATAAATATTAATATGCAAAATCATAATATGTTTCTTGATTTTGTAATTAAGTTTTGAAGACAACACTAACAGATATTTTTCCCTTAAAACAAGGTACTAAATTATGTAAGTATTAAATTTTAAAGATCTTTTTTAATCATAGAAGGAATGAATACATATAAATAATTTTTTCTCCTTTTATTTTCCTTCTTAAATTCGAATTTTAAAATTTTAATTAGTGTGTTTGATTTTAATTTTCTGAATTCAATTTTTTGAAAATTGAGTTTTTTGTTTTTTGTATTTTTTTTTATATTTAGTAAGCAATTTTTTTTTTCTATTTTTAGATGCACCTTACTTAGATATATCTAAAAAGTAAAACAATTGTAAAATAAATATTCTAAAAAACTAATAAATATACAAGAATACAAAAAATATACTGAATTTTTGTTTTTTTTTTGTTGATATTTTTGGTATTTATTGAATTTTTTAAATTTATTTTTTACAAATATTATATTTTTTAAATGTATTTACATTAGGTGTATCTATAAATTAAAAAAAATATTTAAAATATCAAAAAATTCAATAAAATTAAAAAATATGTATATATATGAAAAGTAAAAAAATTTAATTTTTTGAAAAGGGAATCTTGACAATCCTAACAAAACAGAGTGAATGTGCTTCAATCTAATGTTTTCATTTCTACAAAAATGTAAATAAAAGAAGTTCCATACAAAAACAATTGAACTTTAAAAAAAATACATAAAGTAATAAATCTTATAATTTTATTTAAAAGTATTTTTCTTGAATTAGACCAGTAAAGAAATTATCACAATTCACAAGCAGAACTTGCATATATATATATATATATATAGGAGAGAGAGAAAGAGATTGCTCATAGTTGACTTGAACCATTGGTAAGGAGCTTATTGATTTATGTAGCTAGGAAAACCCCACAGCGTTGATCGACTACTTGTTTTTGCCCAAATATATAGCACTGGCTTACAACTGGGCTATCATGCTAGTCACGCTTTCAAATTTGGAATAGGCCCAAACATCGTGCGTAAATAGATGATATGTCATAATTTTAAAAATTTTAAATTTTTATAATTTATATAATAGGTGGCGTTATAATTTTAAAATGATAATATCAATTATATTGGTACACTAATTAATGTATTAATGATTGCATGTAGCACTACCGTTCTTTAATTCCTTAATTGATATTAGAAATTAATACCAAAGGTATTTTGGAAAAAGGGGAATTGACCAGTAAATCCCATATTGTGGACTTGTAATCCATAAGGTCCTGAATGTTTTCTTAGTGACTGAGTGGTCCCTTAATTTGTTTGTTGACAGTTTTGCCACTGCTAGTATTATTGATTGACATTTAGTGTGGGTTTGTATGAGATAAGGTGAATGGGTGTTTGTATGTCATGCTGATTGAAAAAGCACACTAATACTTTTTTTAATTTAGTAAATGTGTAACACTGAAAACATGAGACGTGGGTTGTGACGTGAACACAAGTATTTTGACACATTTTTTGTTGTTGTTGTTGTTGTTTTTTTTTTTTTTTTTTTAACACATGAGACGTGGGTGTGACATGAACACAAGTAATTTGAAATATTTTTTTTGTTTTGTTGTTTTTTTTTGTGACGTGGGTTGTGACGTGAACACAAGTAATTTGACACTTTTTTTTTTCTTTTTTTGACATAGATTGTGTCCACGTTTCGGCTGTCCCACAGTTTGATCACTGCTATAAAAAAATCAGCAGTGACTCAAATTCGAATTACCAACACTCACCAAATTCACCCTCCCATCTTCCCCAACACTAACACACTCAGACCCATTTTCCTGCACATCAATACACGAAATGGGTTCAACGTGCAATGTCTTCTCAGGCACCGAAACCTTCGATTCGATCGACGCATCGGCCGGGTCAGCGAGCAGGACGTGGATTGTGTCACGTTTCGGCTGTCCCACAGTTTGATCATTGCTATCAAAAAACCGGCAGTGACTCAAATTCGAATTACCAACACTCACCAAATTCACCCTTCCATCTTCCCCAACACTAACACACTCAGACAAGGTTTTAAAAAGCAGCCGCAACCGTTACGTAACGCCGTTATGTAACGGTTTTGACGGTTACCGCGACCCGTTACGGCCGCTTTTGCAGTGTGATTGAGATTCACAGGTGTGTCGGCCGTAGTAGCTGTCATAGCGGTCGTAACGGTGCCGTAACAGCCGTAACGGCCTATTACGCACCGTTACGTAACAGTTCCAAACTGTTTCTTTTGAAAAAACACACAAAAAAAAGCTGAAAATTGGGGAAGAGGGATAGAGAGAAGAGGGATAGAGAGAAGAGGGAAGATAAAGAGAGAAAATAGAGGAGCAAGAGATAGAGAGAGAGAGAGAAGAGGGAAGACGAAGAATATGTTATTGATTTGTTCAAACTATAAGTCCTATGCTATTCTATTCAGCTGCTATCACTAAACCATTTTGTTTGTGTGTGTCTATCTATATATTGTTTGAAAATAATAATAATAATAAGTTTGGTCATTATCTATTTGGCTTAGTTAAAATATGTATATATATATAAATATTTAGGCTCTTATTTATTCTCTTACTTTTGTCATTATTTATCTTATATATAATAGTTAGTAATTGATTTTTTGTAAAATATAATTATTAAAATAAAATGTAAAAAATTCAATTTATAGTGATTTAAAAATATGAAACATATTGGATCATACTTAAAAATTTACAAAAATTGATCAATATTTATTTTTAACCCAATAAATATGATCATGGAAAAAAAATATGCATATCGGTAAGTTTTTTTCAAATTGTGCG